AGATTACAAGACAAGGGTTCAAACAAACCCTGACTGAACAAAAGCAACGACGCAGCGTGACACAAACCTTTGTGTTTGATTTTTGCACAGGATGCATGACTAATCAAGAGAAATGATTCACGTTAAGAATAAATGCTCTTTGCTTTAGTGATTGAATCCACAAGGTTCGGCATGATGTCAGAGAAAATCTAGCAGCTGAATTGGTTTGGAAAGTCTCTGATTTGGTCTGAATAGTAATTGTGTTGGTTGCCTTGACAACCTCCAGTTCAATTAAAGGCTTTTCTGGCTTCAGCGAACCTCACTTTCATTTTAGCTTCTTTATGTTTCAATTACTATCTTGACAACTTTTGCAATCTATGATTTATAATTCAGCTATGACACTAATTCCTGGATGCGTTGCCTCCAGGCAGAAAAAACTTCAAGTCTGGAGAAGCTAATATTTCCCAATTTGATCTCCAAGAAAAAGAGATTTAGTGACCTGAAAACTTGGTCAACCTGAACCACAGTTTTAATACACTAGAGACCAGAAACACCGAAACAAGCTGAGTTTGGAAACTTGATCTGTTTTGAAGCAGAATGTGGATGAATTTGGCTCAAAAATATTTGTAAGGCCCTTATTTTTTAATCAGATTTCTATAAAATGTGCCTGAAAGTAAAGTTGGGAACACTGTTCTTATATGTAAACTTAGAAAGGTGGACTGAACTAATTTATTGTTTAGATTGGACAATTGATTAAATATGACACAACGGGCTCTGTGGGAGACAGTGTGTTAAATACTTTCTGAAATATTTTGCCCTACCATGTCTGATTCTTGCAACTTTCTATGAGCGAATGGGGCAATTTATTTATTTTTTTACTGTTTCTTGAACTTTCAGGAATTACAGCGGCTGAAGCGCTAAAGGGAAAGTAACGCAGAGAAAGACTCAAAACCACAACGCGCAACAGCAGAGCTGGAGTTTACATTCAAGTGTATCCGTAACAATAAGGTCGAAAAACACAAAAACATTTTCCACACAAACAAAACAGTTACAAGTTTTTTTAGGCGTGACGTTTAGTTTTACGGTCATTGCTAAATGATCGCCTGGAAACGAGCGGCGACTCATTAGCTAGCAGAAACATAAAGCGGCAACATCAAACTGTTCATTTTAGAAGTGCCACTGGTTAATAAGTCAAACGCACCTTCCACTGAAGAACATGTTTGTCTCTGACGCTAATGAGCTAGCCGACATTTGACAATGATAATTTAACATACAGTTAATATTTTAAACTAGTCTAAGGAGAGTCTTAGTCCAACTTAGGGTGTTTTCACGTCTGGTAGACTTGGAACAAAACCGTAACATTTGTTACTTTTTCAGTTTGTATGGTTTGCTTTCACACTGCATTGTTTAAATGATCCAAACTCTTTGAAAAACCTGTTCCCCTCCTTGCCTCTGGGGGCACTGCACCAAAAACAACTGCAGGAATTGACACACAAACCTCTGAAGAAGACTGGAGTGCAACTAAACAAAAGTGGAATGTTGTCAGATTTTAGCAGTTGTAAGATTTCTCTTTTGTCTTTGGTAAAAAAACAAAAAACAAACAAGTCCCGTTTGTTTTGGTTGATTTTACCCAGAATGCCATGCGCTACCATCTGTTTCTCTGGTCAAAACAAGTCAAAAATTTACTAGAAAAAGATTTCAGAAAATTTGAGAGTAACCTCAGAAATCTTCTTGAATGATCTTAAAAATTACTGAATTTCAAAAATTTCAACATTTTTGACTTTTGGAAACTGTAAGAAGTGCTCAGCCTCAGTCTAATGTCACAGTTTTATGTCAAACGCTCCAAGAAACTAATCAACAGCACAAAATATCCCACAGTGGCCTTTCACAAAGATTTAAAATGGTACAAATAATTGTATTTACCCAGAATGCCTTGCGCTTTTGTGCACTTCTTGTTTTTGGAGCGGTCTCCGGTCCACATATTTATTCAAACTGAACCAGAGTTCACTTCAACTGAACCAAAATCAAGATTTGTAAAATAATTAAATTGAGGTGCATTAGATCTGATTAAGTTACGCAGTTTAAGTTAAAGTCAGGATCATCTGAACTATTGCCTTCTGAACTCTGTTCTTTTCCATGTTGTTGTTTTTTAAGTCAGCCTGTGTGTGTAAGGCTCCAAGACGGCGTCAGCACGACTCATTGTAACCATTCTAATCCAGCCATTAGTCAATTAGGAAGTGACGGGCAGCTGTAATGCCCGTGCATTAGTGGGATGGATTAGTTTCTCATTCAGCGGCCGCCTGCCGCCCGCGGGCGAAGCAGACTGATGAAGGACAGCAAACTGTGGCGCCGCATCACCAAAAAGCTGCTTTCGCTGCACTTCGCCTTCAGACGGCAAGTTGAGCCGTGTGCTTGTTCACAGTGTTTACTGATGGAACAGAGCGGCAGCTTAATACATTCTGATTACGCATCATTGAGGCAGAAATATCGCACATTGAGGTAGGGAGTGCTGGTGTTTTTCGTTCTGACAAAAATGAAAGTTAATATGGCCGCTCTGCAGTTACCCACAATGAAGTGTTAAAAAAGTAAATGCATGAGGAAAAAAACTGTTTCTGACCTTTTTCTAAAGAATTTTGACTAATCACAGAATTCCAACCTTTATCTCTGAATTCAGAGTTTTTATCAAAATTCAAATAAAATTTTTAATTTTTTTCAAAATCCTTAAGTTTCACAGAATTCTGACAATTTTTTTACGGAATTCCAAAGTTCCTCTCAAAATTACTACTTTTACCTAAAAAAATCTACATTCTTTCCTCAGAATTCCGACTTTCTCAAAATCCTGACTTTTCCTACAATTATTTCTCAGAATTCTTAAGTTTCTCAGAATTCATGAATTTTTCTCAGAATTTCGACTATTTTCTTGGAATCCTGATTTTATTTCCCCAGAATCCCAAAGTTTTTCTTAAAATGCCTGCTGCTTTTCTCCAACTTGTTTCTCAGGATTCTGACTTTCTTCTCAGAATTCAAACCTTTCTTAGAATTATTCTCAGAATTCTGAAGTCCTCAGAATTTCAGAGTTTTCTCAAAATTCTGACTTTTCTCTCAGAATTCTTTCTAGAATTCTGATGTTTTTCTGAATTCCGACTTTTTTCTCAGACTTTATTTAAATACAAACTTACTTTGTTGATCCAAAGGGATCAATAAATGTCATTGTAATGCATATTACTTAAACATTGCTCAAAGAAAGGATCTTCTGTAGTAGTTTGTGTTGCAGCAAATTTGAAGAAGCCTCTGGCTGAAGACTTTTTTCTTGCCGGTCTCATGAAGGTGATGTCATAATTTTCTTGATTTTATATGAAGTCCTCCAGAACCAGCCATCTTTACCAGGTTGTTGATCCTATTTAGGTCTAATCTTCTGATATTAAAGTCAGAATTCAATCATTTCTGTGAGCTCTCACAATAAATGAGATTTTCAGGTTTATTCGAGTTCGGTGGGAATGAACGTGTTGTTCTGCAGGTTATTGACAACCAGTGAGGTGAGAGAAAGCCAGACAGCAACCCAGCCTCCCTCCGCTCTCTGCTGGCCTTCTGCCGGCCTCTACCCAAACCCATTAATAGCTCTGCCCTCCAGGAGGTGGTAGGCAGACGGCCCGTAATGCAACCAGAGATATTGATGACCACATCATTCCCCCAAGGAGCCAGGAGAGGAAGGAGAACGACAGGAGGCGTAATAAACTAATAGAGGAAGGAAAAGAGGGAATGCATAAAGAGTTTCACCTGTGTGCCAGAATCACTGAAAGCAACCCAAATGAACTTTCCGAAAAAGTTAAATCACTCTCATGTATATTGCATCTGAGTAAAGGGTCAGTCATATTTTATTCTCTGCAAAACATTTAGCATAACACTCTCTTGTTTGTCATCTCACAACACCCTCTTCTCACAGCTTGACAAATGGAAGCAATAATGTTTTCTGCTCCCCGAAAACCACTCACTGGGTTATTTCCTCGACTGGATTTATGCTGCTCGCAAATCCCAAGCACATTCGGATGGAAAACTGTTTGTGCATTTTTGGGAAAACAAAAAAAAAAAAAAGAAACAAACAACAAAAAAAAATAACTCTACAGAAGCTTCAAAGATGCTACAGCAAATAAAACTGACAATAAATTGTGCGTCTGTCAAAACAAAGAGCCACGAATGAGTCTGAAGAGAGAAGAAACCTGAGCAGCGTTAGTGCGTATGGCAGACTGACGCTTATTTAATACCATCTAAAATACCATAAACAGTAAAGCATTATTAACTTAAACTGCTTTAACTTGCAAGAGAAAAAACAACCAATTCCATCAATATTCATCAATATGAAAGCGTCTTTGACTTAAAACAAACTCCTCTATCTTGCTGATGAGTTAATTGTAGGTTAGTTATTTCAAGTGTACCAAGATATTTGCACTAGAAACTACACAAAAATACTTGGTCAAATTTTGTGTTTTTGCGGTGCATACTTGGACACATGAAAATTTAATATCAGATGAAAGATACTGATTAATAATTTTGATTAGGGTGTCCTAACTTTTGGTTGATCTCAGGTTTAATTACAATAAGGTTAAAAGTGATCGAATACACTTCCTCGGACAGACCAGTGCCCGATACAAATCATGCTCATAACATTTTGTGCACGAAATTATTAAAAAAAGAGATTTTTGTCTCTTCAATTCAGCGTCTACTCAACATTCACACTCACACATGAAAATGGCTGCAAAAAGATGTGCAATCACACAATCATAAATTGTTGGAAAACAGAAGCGGAGGAGTAAAACCGGCTGACCAAACGTGCTGGAGTTCAGCTTGGGATGCTAGGTAATGGGCAGAACTCTCCTGAAGTTGCTAGGTAACTAATGTGCTGTTTTTGAAACAACTTGCTTTCCAGATGTCAAAAAACACAAACTTACTGTAAAAAAACCCCTAAAACTAAAACAGAAAACAGTTGGGTTTTTTTTGTTTTAATTATTCAGGATGATTTCAGAAGCAGTTGAGATTGAAATCGAAATATAAAAACATGCAAACTGTGAATTTTGAATAATAGTTTGGCTCTAATGTTTGGTGTTTGCTATTATTCTTTTTTTCCAATATTAGACGTTTCTTGAATAGTAAACACTGAAAGGGTTGATGCAGTTTTTCTCTAGGAGTTTTCCACAAATGCCAATATGTCAGAAAACGACTGTATTCTTAGAGACAACCTACCCATCATCATCAAACCAACTGGACTGAATCACAGTGAGATCCTTTGCAGTTCTGTAAGTCCATCTGACGTGAAGATATTTATTCTCCCAAACATTCACTACAGATGATTCTCTTTGCTCTGTCTCCACATCTCGTCTTCCCAGAACATCAAAGCCGTCTTGCTAGCAGGGGGGCTAAAGATGCTGGAACGAAGGAGGCCGACGCATCAGAAAGCCTTGGATGTTTTTCCTCTTCGCCCCGCCACGTTCGCAGAGGCAGCAGCAATGAGCAGGTTGACATGAGGAGAAGGCTGGGATATGCAGAGATTAGTGCAGGCTGATGTCATTTGTTTTATGTAGGTGTTTTTTCGGGGATGTGAACGTGCTGCTGCGTCAGCCTAATCCCCCTCAGCCAGGGCAACGCATCACAATGACAAACAATGACACAATCTGCTGCTTTTATTCGTTTAGAACGCCGCTGTAACCGCAGCGTCGCCCCCCCCTGGGGCTCAGGCCGGCCACCGCGGCAACATGTATCCCATCAAAACTCATTTCAACAGGTGCGACGTCGGAGAAGCCAATTTGCGCGCGGCGTCCCGGGATCAGACAAGGGATTTGAACTGACACGGTCACAGAGGCTGGAATAATCATCACACTCAGTGTGGTGGAAATCATTTCATACTGAGATATCTTAGCCTTTTAATATCAGGGGTGAGCTTCCCCTCAATGCCATCACATCGGCTCCTTCTTTTCTAAAATGTTCAGAAAGTGGAGCAAGTTTCAATTTTGCTTGTGTTGACCCTTTGACAGATGCACAAAATGTCAAAAAAACTAAGACCCTCTTCCTGGCTCTAACTGGTTGTTTTTAGTTAACACCAACAGTCCCAAGAGGAGATTGATCTTTTCACAGATAGTTGATATTTTTTATAAACGTTACGTATTGCAGCTTTAAACACACTTAACAGAAGTACACTGCTTCTTTTTTTAAATAGAAAATCACCCACACAGAATATTCAACATATCAGCGATGCAGCTGATTATTGAGGAACATTGTAACGAGTCTTAAACAGCCGCTTTTCATGAATTGCACACCATCAACAGGAAGCATTTGTTCCGCTTTCCCCGCAACGCTTCTGAATTTTAGCTTCATTTTAATACGAGTTCCGTTTGATTTAGGTCCCAATTATGTGAACTTTTCCGCTCCAAAATGCCACCGATCCACCATTCCCCAGCCAACCTCGAACTCGTCCGTTCATCAGATCAAAACCCACCTCCACAAATAATCCCTCACCAGAAAGCTGCTGCCAGCGACGCGCAAACTTTAATTGGATCCTTTTAATAGTGCTCACTATGGCCACTTCCAGCCATGTAATTAGGTTTCTCTTCCTATAGGGTTTAATGGTTGCTGGGTGGGGGAGTCAAGCAAAGCAGGGAAAGAGAGAGAGAGAAGGAAAAAGGCCAGATTCTCCGTTTTACACAAGGCTTAATCCAATTTCACCCTCAGAGAAATCATCTCATGCCATATATACTTTTTCAATAAGGTTTTTATGGGCCACCGTAAAAACCACAGCGCAGTGTTGAATATCCAGCCTCATTGATTTCTTTGGCTGCGAGAAAAGTGGCCTTTAGGTTGCTTTCAGTGTTTGGCTCGCACCTTTCCAACAGACGATCGGGAAATGTTGCATTCCTAAAATGGGAAACTCCCAAAACTGAATCCAAACCGACAGGACTTCAGGAATGATTCATTTCTGCCACAAGCGGAGTGATTAGACAAAGTCAATCAAATGAATAATAAATGAATAATAAAGGAGGACTGGATGGCTGGACAGAGGGAAGAGGGTTAAAGTGGACAAAGTTTTCTGGACGACAAATTGTCCCAGACGTTAGTTTTCCGATCATTTTTGCATCACATAATAATGATGCAATAACAATACTAGAAATTTTTTTTTTCTATTTTTGTCTTTTTCTACCAAAGAAAAAAAAAGAATGAATTAGATTTGCACTAACCAATGATAGACACAAAAGAGCAAGTTAGCAAGGATCTGTTAGGAGATCGTTAGCGATAGCCTCAACCACTAGCTAGCTAATAAAGGTATATTAGGAGATAAAGTAGTGGAGAAAAATAGAACAAGTTCAAGTGTTTTTTCAGGAAAAATTGTCAAATTATGTTGTGTTCCAGCAAATTCGACACCAACTGTTTTGATAACAACAGCAACAAACTAAATCATGCACAGATTCAAGAAGATCAAATAATCGCAGCCATATATAATGGAAAAATGGAAATCTTCAAATCAGCTGTAGAAGTTCATGTGTTCGCTCTGCTGGATCTTATGTGTCCCTCTGGGAGTTTGCATCTACCACTGAAGGATTTCTATTCCTCTGGGAAGCTCATGTGGCTCAAAAATTAAAATAAAGCACCAAAAACATCACAGGACGCTTCGCCTGATAACAAAACATTTAAATTCAGTCCAGTCTGAACGCAACCGTTTCTTTTTGGGAGAATAATGTCGACTGTAAGAGATGCAGCAGCATAAAATCACCAGCAGGACCATCTGCCAGCGGCTTCATTAAATTCACTCGATCACATTCAGACATATGCAGCGTCTGTACAGGCTGCAGGAAGACGTTTACCTTAAAAATCCATTTTGATTAAGACTAAAAGATGTTTTCTGGTAAAATCATTACTGCCGCTAAAGCGTGCAGTGACGAAACAATGGCGGCACGACTCGCTCCTGTTGCGTTAACCTTTTTCACTCTTTCCCACCTGCTGGAAACCTCATGAATTAATCTGCCTCCTTGTGTTTGGAGTTAATGACGGCTGAACGGAGAGCAGGCTGCACACAGGCTGAGGCAGGGAGGCATTCCTCTGAACTAACGGTGACAACAATGAATATATATGTAGCTCATTAATGTTGCTCTTTTTGGAGAGGTGGGACTTTCACAGGTAACATTTTGCCACTAAAGGGTTTATTTCAAGATAAAGTGGCTGTCAGTAAAACCATATGGCCATGAGAAGACATTTTAAATAATATCTTAAAAAATAATCTTTTGCAAATCAGCTGAAAAATTGATAAAACAGCAACGTCGATTTCATTATACAGAAGAGATGCTTTCCTTGCAATCGTTTAGACAGACAATTTGAATAATTTGTGTTCATTTTAATTCAAATGGTCTGTATTGGTGCAGATTTGTTGGCTGCACATCCAGGATGTGATTCTCCCGATTTACCACATCCCAAAGGTTTTCCATTGGATTGAGATCTGGTGACTGTGGAGGCCATTCGAGTTCAGTGAACTCGTTGTTCAAGGAACCAGTCTGCCCAATTGGTACTAACGGACCCAATTGGGCAAATAGCAAGTGGTTATTTGAGTTACTCTTGATGTTCTATCAGCTCCAGCCTGTCTGGTCATTCACCTTTGACCTCTGGCATCAACAGGGCGCCTAGTGAATCCAGTGAACTGCTGCTCACTGGATATTTTCTATTTTTCGGACCCATTCTGAGTAAACCCTAGAGATGGTTGTGCGTGTGAAACGGTTTTATTTTAACAATTTTGTGAATGTGAGGTTTGTCAAAATTTGTTTATTAAGTTTAGTCAACAAACTGTTTCTCCAGACTTTTGTCTGTGTTTTAGGTTCTGTTAGCTCCTCCCGCTACACCGCTCTTGGCAGTTTCTGCATTAGAATCAACTCTGTGTTTTCGTTACCAGTATTATATTTAAGAATATTTTGTTTTGAGCATGTTTTTAAATGTCATCCTTGTCAATGTTGCCCATTTTACCTCCGTTTAATTGCACAAACGTCAACTGCTGCTAACTGCTCATTTGTTTAATGTCTTGTATTTTATTTAATATGTACATTAATGACATTTATGCACAAAAATACTTGTTTCATCTCGTCTTTCGGTGAAGACAAAACACGTTAGTCCTCTAAAAACTAAACCTGAAACAATTTCATAGTTTCCTGTCTCATTCAGACGTGTTTATTCCTTTCTACTTCTTATTATTGTTTAATTATTTTCTGTTTTGCTTAATTTTAAATATATTGATCTGAAAATGTTCCAAAAATACACTTGAGCTGAGCTAAAAATACGATAATTACAAAAAATGATGTACCTAGGAGTCATGTTTTCTGATACAAAACACAGAATGCTGCAGTTCACAGATAGCGGCATTTAAAAGCAATTTAAAAACAGCAATAATGAGAAATGACATGCAAATATGCTGCGTTAGAGGCCTAAATTAGCTGTGGGTGTCTTTGTAGAGATCCTAGTAAGTGATTTATAAATAATGACAACTTCTTAGAGCTTCAATCGGCATAAAACTCTTAAATTCTCACCGTTTGTGTGAAATTGAATGTCTGAGCGCAGATTTAAGCCTTTGTGGTGTGTTTGTGTGTGTTTCTGCCAGATAACCATGCAGAGTGCAGCTTTTTTGTTGGACTATCTTTTCCTGCGTGGATCCCACAGAAGCCCGTTATCGCCGACCCTCAGAGCCCCCCACCCTTCAACTCACACTGCCTCCAGAAAGCAGAGGCAAAAATAAATTAAAAACGTGAAGAAAAGGAAGAAATAAATGCTTTTCTTCTTGACAAAGAGGCAGATATTTTTTTTACAGTCTATGGAGCCTGTAATTTTCTGGATGGGTGAAAAAAGACAAAGATAGTGAAGGAAGTGAAATATCTGGTGATGTAAGAAATACAAAAAATATAGTTTAGGCGAAGAATATAGAAGAAAAAGAAAGATGACGCTGCCTGTTGTGAGAACACATAAATATATGAGGCTATGCTGTCATAATGGGGTCGAAACACAGTTTGCATCCAGATCTAAGAGTTGGAATTAAACAAGATAAGACTGAAATTTTATATATGACAAAGCACTGCAGGAAAGGTGGTGCAAACTGGGAAATCAGGAGACATGATCTTCCCAAGGCCCTGCAGAAAAGGCAGCTTCTACTGCAACTTCTTCCTCAGACTGAGTTTAAGTTGGTGGAGAGGAAGAATTGGCAAAGGAAAAAATGAATTCAAGGCCAAGACTGCAGGATATTACTGCAAAAATCGTTTTAGTCTGGATACTAGCGTAAAAGCTAGCATGTTCACCCCTCAGCTTACATGTTTTTAATTTTTCCCATTTGAGTTTAAAACTATTTTTCAAAATGGCTGCCATTTTTTAACCTTTTAAACCGATTATTGGCATAAAATGCTACCAATTAGTAAAAGAAAGTTGCAGCAGTGTTTTTTAAATCTTATGCTAACTGATGATTCGCAAATAAGTGATTTATTGCCATATTTAGCTTTGGTTAACTGTAATACCATACACACGATCTGATGAACGCTGACAAGAAATACAGAAATTTGTAAATGAATAGCCTGAAGAAGAGAAACTCTTGAATTAATCAGAGATTCACACAGGAGCTTCATGTTTTGCTCTATGTTTTCCCCTTGATGAATAGAAAACTTGGCCTTTGTGTTGCTGTGCTTTTGTTTTTTCCTCCACCGTCTCGTTGAGCACCGCTGATCCTTTAGCAACTCAGAAGTCACACAAAAGGGCAGAACAAGAGAGAAGACTAATTAGGACAAAATCAGAGTAATACCACAGGAGGATGAGAGATGAAAAGAAACCACAGAGACTTGGAGAAGAGCTGAAGAACGGCTTTCATTTGATTAAATTTCATCTGAATGAACTTTCCCTGCACCTTTAACAGAAGTGCACACAGAAACTTAAAACGACGACTTCAGGTTGCACAGTTGGACGCTAAAATATCTTTAAGAAGCGAATTGCTTGTAGAGTCAATTAAGAAGAAAGCTACAGTTCAGCCGACTGATGCACATGTCAACGTGGCTTCTGGATTTAAATAAAAAATGCTAAACAAAATTACTTCTCATTTGTCCTTGATGTTTATTCAAGCTAAAAAAGAGAGACAAGAATAAGGAACGACAGATGCCATCTGTGCAGTTGGAACCTCACAGTGAAATTCTCCAACATGTTTTAATTTTCTAGTTTGTTAAAAAAAAACAAAAAACTAATTGCATGAGATTTCCGTGGTTCTTCCTTGGCTTTATTTCATGTACCAGAGAAATACCACAGGAAGCTAATCTTGGCTCCATCGCTGGTGCAAAACCAACATTTCCAAAACTAGTCTTTAAAAAAATCATAATAATTAAATACAACTAGAAACCAGATAATTTTCTGCTGGATAAAAGATTTTTATGCAAAGCAATGAACCAGAACTTAAAGTATAATTTAAATTACAACACAAATGAGAACAAGCAAGTAAATAATACAATAAAACTATGTTTACTATCCTAGCATTCCATCATATGTTTAGTGCTACTATTTCAAATCTGTGAAATGTTTTTTAAAAACTGCTATTTCTCGTGAATGAACTAGAATATCTCCACACTTATTCCCATTTTAAATTAAATTAATTAACATTTTCTAGAAGGTTTTCACTGTTAAAACCTCAAAAGTGAGTTTCCAATTATGTTACAATGATTAGCTAGCAAGCTAGCTGGCTAGCTAGCTAGCCCCCTTGCTATCATCATAAGATCGAAATTCTTGTTTCCATCTCAGCTTTTTAGTCTGTTTTCTTCAGTATTTACTAAATTATCTGATTATTTCAATAACTGAATAATCACGATTATTCCGATGAATTGTTTCAGCTTTAGATTAATCTCTAAATTTGTAGAAACAACCCGTTTCATTTTTTAAAATCCAACTAAACCAAAATCTGCTGCTAACTACACAACAACTTTAGGAGTTAAGAACTTATTTACAGAATAAACAGCTGCTGGTTCATCTCTTAAAAGCATCCTCCTGTGTCAGCTCGTTGTCTCAACTTCATCCTGCACTTCATTATTGTATTTATGAGTCTAAATAAAGCAGAAAACCATCATGCCTGTCTAAGCTCTCCGATGCATATTCATACTCAGTTTCTCATTATTTCCCATTAATCCACTGCAGGCTCAAGGCTGTGGAAGACGCATTGTGTGTCATGAGAGAGGCCACTCACAAACACTGAAGGAGAGACACACAAACCGCCTGAGAGAGGAAACAAGAGATAGTTTATCACCACTTCCCTCCTTTTGATCCCTACTGAACGGGGCAATTTTCAGTGAATCTAACAGAGTTGGAAGGAAAGTGAAGTGCGGCTTATAAAGACGGCTAGAAAGTCCGATAGACGGAGACATATCTGTTCCAAAGCCTATCACACATCTCATTTCCACCCAATTTCCTTGCAGAGTAATCCATCCCCTGATGGAGCTCGTCGTCTATCCCAACATCCACCCAGCGACGCAGGCACCGCTGTGCTTTTAGGAGCTTTTACATCATGCAGGTCTCCATTTGTGCTGCTCCCCGGAGAGCCTGTGTCACAGAGTGCTGCTGTGTCAGAGATGCTCTTCTTCTACCATCATATTTCAGCGTGTGTGTGTCAGTCAGAGCAGTTGAGGGAGAGTGTGTGGCGTCCTGTTCATGCTGCATGTTTAACAATGTCCCTCAAGCCTCCAGACGGGGGAAAGTCTGCAGCTTTGGATGTAAATGTTTAAAGGTAATTTTCAGCAACAAGGCAGTTCAGGGGGCTTTACATGAATTAGAAGGAAATACAACAAAACATCAACCAAAGGAAATAGAAAAGAGAAAGAAATATAAAAGTATAAAACTACATATTGGTTCCTCATGTTTAAGAATAAATGGTCTGTAATTTATAAACTAGTCTGCATTCTTGTTCTGATAAAACTAGTTGGTACTTTCTAAGTTTGTAGTAGATTTGTAAACCAACAGGAGTTTTTCCAGATCAATAAAGTTTAATGCTAAATGTTCTAAGGAAATTTCTCTAGATAAACTAACAGGAGTTTCTCTAGGTCTTGCTCCGATATTAAGAGTATAAAGCTAAATGTCGGTCTAAAGTAATAAGTACTTTACAGTTCGTCAAAGTAATAAAATAAAAAGTATAAAGCTAAATGTTGGTTGGTTCTCCATTTTTGATTCTTGTTCAGAGTTGCTAAAAATTCCTAAAAATATTAGGAATTTTACAGTGAAAGAAAACTAAAGACAAGAAAAAGAAATTATTTCTGATGTATTTAATCCTTTAAACAGATTTTTGGAAATTTGTGCCAACAACAGACTGGCTGCGTAAAAATATTTTAATAACTTTCTGGACAAAGTACTTGTAAAAAAAGAAGGAAAGTGCCATATTGGCAGTAAAACCGTTGTAGGGTTGTAGAAAGTTGGCAGGATCGGCAGCACTGCAGCAGTCGGAGTGTTTTTACATTATTTTGCTAAGTCATGATTCGTGCCTGGCAACAGTATTTATGAGGGCTTGAAATGAAAAAAACAAATCTAATTTATGCACACCAATAAAGCTATTCTGATTCTCCTGATCTGTATCACATTTTGTCTTATTACAAGAACTAAATTTGAGGGTTTTTTAAAAGTGTGTCAGGCGTTTGTTCTCCATTTTTATTTTGTCTTTTTCAGTTTTGCATCTCAGGAGACATATTTTGCAAAATAGCTCAAGCTCAGTGAAATTACATGGTGATATGTAGAAGCAGGAAACAAGTTTGCCTCAGACTAGCAACTAAATTTGAGTCTGAACTTTGACTAGGCCATTCTGATACCTAAAAAGGAGGTTTTGAAAAGGTTTGGTTCCGTTACCGCCCTAATTTTAGCTCCATCGACCTTCTCAACTCTGACAAGCGTCTATATCCCTGCTGGAAAAAAGAAACAGTTCCCACTGCATCATCACTACAATGACGTAGCACACTCCTCCACATGTTTGATGTTCTCTCTACATGGTTTGAGAAAAATCGATGTGTGTTTTATATAGATCACTAATTTGTTTTGGACAATATAGAAAATAAATCTGAATCTGATCAGAAGTTTAAAAAGTTGCAATAAGAGGACCAAACATTAATAAATTCAATCTGTTTAAAATATTTAAACAGAAAAAACTATTTGAAATAGTTTTTTCTAAAACAAGACCCCAAAGCAGATCAGCCTCACTGCTAAAACTTTTGACCATGAGCGATAACGGCCTGATCGATCACGACAATAACAACCAGCTGCTGCCAGACAAGAAACTCTCAGATTTAAATAGGCCTTCAAACATTCCCAACTCATCTCCTTTAGAGCCACAAAGTCCTTCGCTTTCAGTCAGCTGTCTGCTCCGTTCTCGTTTCATTAAAGGAGCTGAAATATGATGACATTTCACAAGCAGCTGAGACATGAGAAAACTCAGACGAGCCAACGACTGAAGGTCTCTGCGCTTTCATCCTCAGCTCAGGGTTGTGGTCAGGATTTCAGAAACAATTCTGTCAAAGGGGGCTGAAAATCTTTGCGCAAACTTTTCACATCTAGAAAGTTTTTCAAATTCTTTCTCGCAAAACAGCTCAGTTCATAGTGAGCTTAAGTTATGTGGTTGTTGTTTCTCATTTGACAAGAGTTTTTTCTTCCAACAAACTTTTCTGCTGTCTATATGGCTACAACTCATGATTTTTG